TTTTTTCAGCTTTCTCAGCAGGGAAGATTGGCCTCTTTACATTGGAAGACCTCTGTCTGTGGTGTATGCATTTCAGAGCCTTCCCACCTGCTTTTGACAAGCTGGGTGAAATATATCAGTAAGTAATGTGATTTTGACATAACAGCAAAATTGTATGTAGTCAGGAATAATTGAATAAGTGAATTCATAGTTCAATTTGAACAAACCTATGCCTAATAATAATCCAGTATTAATAGATTATTAACTCAACATTTATTAATATATGCTAATATGATGAAAATATTTCACATATGAACTAGGTACTGTTCTGTTCATAATTAAATGTGTGCCTGTGTAATATTTTAGAATTAGAATAAAGAGTAGCTTTATGTTGAGCCAGACTACTGATTGGAAGAACTATGCTGTGTTAAGACAGTCTTACTCAAACCTTCATGCTCCCACTGGGAACACATTATTGTGTGCAAGGGCCATCCTACTACCTTCTTAGTATCAGCAAAGTTAATAAGGTCAAATTATTTCATACACTGCAGAATACTTTCCATGGATGCTCTTATAATACTAAAATTTAAAAACCCTTTAGGCAAATACTAAAACCACGCACAGTTGTCTAAATGACACCACTGATGCACAAGAAAGGAGAGAACACAGGGCTATCTGAAACTGGTTACTGAGTGGAAGCTGTGGTGTGTGTAACAGCAGTTAGACTGTATGTAAGGTAACAAGTCCATCTGACAAAATTTCTACTAGCAACAGCCAAGCTCAGCCAGCTTTCTTCTAACACTGTAGACAAGCCTCACAACAAGATTATGGAGTCTGTTCAAAATACCCTTCAGATAGTATTTTGGTTCTGATCCTTCAGAGACTTGATCAATTTTGACCATTGCACATGACCAGAGAAGCCAATTTTAAGCCTCCCTATTTGGCATGAAAGAAATACTTTAACAATATAGGTAAATGTTTAATTTCCATATAGTCTGATCCAGTTAAGTCAAATCGACATCTTTGCATTAATTAAAAGGAGGAGACCAGCTCAGTTATTTGAGTACTCAGTAAGAAAAATTATCCTGAAATTAGGATCAGAGTCTTTTGTTTTTTTATTACATCCTCTAAATTAGAAACACCGTATCAGGTGTAAGAGATTGGTTTTGAGTCCTACCATGATTTGGGGTGGCTTTTTCTCCATCTCTGCTCTTCATGCAGCACTAAATCTTTTGAGCAGTGTTCCTCACAAGAAGAGAGGGAAAGGAACAGTGCATACCAAGAAGGTAAAAAATTTTAGTGCCCTGTACAGCATGATCTCCTCTCCTTACTTACCTGGTTATAATGACAAAATTGTTGGGCTCTCCAGGTAATAATCTGTTTAAAGCTCCTGGAAGGTGCCTTTTTTATCAGCATTAATTGCTTCCAGTGGGACTAAGCATTAGTAAAAGTAAGTCTTTGCATCATCAGGGACTAATTGGGACAAGTGCAAAAGAAAAAGAAGTAGAGTGAAAATTGTTCTTATTATTCTTAATCCCACTATGTATTTTGTTCTGAGCCTAACAGCACACTTTTTTCTTTCTTGCTTGTAACATTACCTATTAACATCATGAGCATTGTCTAACTTAGTGGACTTCTTTTGTTGTATCCATCCTTATTTTTAATGTATTTATATAAATTCTACCAATTAATGTTTGATTTTGATGCTGCTTTCAGTGGGAAGCCACACTTGTGAAGATCAAGTTCTGTACGCAAACAGTTTAGTGTCCTATTCAAGGAACACAGATTGAGTTTGATTTTTCCATAGTGACTTTACCTGGACACATATGGGAAAACATAAGGTATGTAGTAGCTAAGGTGGAAGTATATTATTTATTTCATTTTTCTGTTAGCTGTCATCATGCCTACAAATTTAAGTGGACTATAGTCCCTTATTATTTGGCATTTTTGAAAGATGAGTGATGGATGGATGAAGGAATAAGAGTTTTAGTTTTGTATATGTTCATACTGTACATGGTATACTATATGTATAGCATTAGGTATAGCGATTGCTGTTTAATATTTATGTTATATATATAAAAACAATGTATCTAATAATATATTACCAATACTTTCAAAGAAAAAATATGAAGTTTGATTCCTGTGTTTACTCAGGGCCTTATCTGACTATTTTATAGTGATATCCCTGCTGGCTTGATGTAGCAATCAGTTATAATTAATCTAGTTATTCTAGTTATAATGTAACCAAAAGGAAATCAATATAAATGTAAATAGAAAGTAGAAAAATGTTTTTTCCCTCAGCTACTCAGTATCATTTCTAAGAATGAGCAGGCTATCTAATATAAGCACTGTTTGAACTCTAAAGCAATGAATTTTTCGATGGTGTAAGAATAGAGTACCTCACTGGAATCACTCTCTAGGGCATTAGAGAATAATCTATAAGTAAAAAGCAGAATGTTGTGATCATGCCTCCTTATTGTGGTTCCTGATTACCTGACTTGCTAATCACACATAGAATTTTCCTTAATGGAACTAAGTTTCACTACCACAGGACCAGCTGACATGGTAAACTGTAAAACCTGTAAGTTTAGTTTATGCTTTTCTGTGTTCTAAGAAAGAATCTGATTAAAAAAAAAAAAAAAAAGGCAATAAAGAGTATATGTTAAATTCAAGAAAAGAATCCACTTTGTCACATTAAATGATTCCAGAAAATGCTGTGATTTGGGAGGCAGTTTTGTGACCTTGTTTATTAGTTTTAGATCTGTAGTTACTGTTTGCTACTATTGTAAAATATTATACTGTCGTATGTACACCATGTACACAAGATAGACTGTCCTGTTCAGTATCTCTTTGTGTGCAAGCGAACTACTAATAACTACTTTCTGAGTATTTCTCTCCTCAAACAACTGTGCATCTGTTGTTTAATCTTGACTATCTCTCCCAATTTGCTTTTGGGAATTTTATGTTGGAGGGTACCAAAAACTTTGTTATGCTGTGCAAATATACATTGTAATCTTCCCACTCTTTACCAGGCCACTTGTAAATGAAGGAAAGTAAGCTAGGTTAGCATTTGGTTTTGATAAATCTTTGCTTTTCAGCTTACAGTGATGTAGGTACCTGTAAATTGATTATAGTAATTTTTCCAGATGTTTTCCCAGATAGTCAAATCAGGCTAGTAGGTTCCTGAGATGCCTTTTTCCCCCTTCTTTCTTAAAGATAAGTAGGATGTTTGATCTGGTCCAGTTTTCTGGATCTTCACTTAGCTCAGAGACATGGAAAAGAGTGAATGTTACCTAGGTCACACTGTGTTCAGATGCCAGAACAAACATAACAGAACAGGTAACAGGCATTTCCTGATTCCAGGTATGTAACAGATAACACCTTATTCCAAATCCACATTATACCACACTAGCCCTGAGATCTATTTGAACTACTACTAATATCTTTATACTTCCATCCATGTCATCATTGTAGCTGCATAACCAGAGATTCTGGAGGCAGTCTATAAGCTTTGGAAAAGTTCACTAAAGTTTTAGTTAGTTCCTCAGCTGTAAAGCCAGGCTTACTGTCATTGTCCAACATAATGATTCACAAGCTTGAGGTTAGGCAAATATTGTGATCAATTCCCACATTTTAAAAATATGCCTTTCTGTCTCTGGTGTGCAGCTACTCTCTAACCAGTCAGCCCTGTTGTCCTCTCCCAGCTATTTCAACTCAGAAGCATAAAGTGGGCCTGATCGCAGAGAGTTGTTTCTGGGGCACACAGTGAACATGGATCGCAGTAACAGCCAAAGTGGTAGACATTTGTGACCATATGAAGAAAGGACTCAAGACAGGAGGAATGAGGGAAGAGAAGTCCAAGCTCTAAGAATAAAGAAATAGGAAAACACTACTGTAAAGAACTAGAAAAATAGCATGTTTTTTTGTGAGATACCTCAGTGATTATTCTTTTACTGGAATCATTAAACCTTTCTGTAATTAAGTGAAAAGCTTGTAATGCTCACATACCCACCTCTATAGGAATTCCTTGAGTATTTTGTTTAGCATGCAGAGGCATAGTTTAAGTTGGCCAATGGTAAGAGACAATCCTTGGTTTATTTTTCACTGGGGACTTCTACACCACACAGACTTTCTGTTTAACCTTTACATTTTCTTCAGAGGACAAGAGGTTGAAGTCTGCAGGATAACCAGAAATACCCAACGTGACACAGCTGCTCTGGAGAAAACCTAAACTGCTTTTGAGCACAAGAAGTAGTAAACATCTGGGGATCATTTGAAACTGTAGCTGCTCACTCACTATGGAAGACATGAAAGAAGCAGTTAATGTTTCTTTTCTGGGTAGGGGATTGATCTTTATCACCACTTTCCCTAAACTGTATTAATAACAATCACTAGGGACAGGAGAAGTACGCATATTTTAAAAGGCAGCAGTAGTTGCCCCAGGTCACAGAAATAAAGGAGGAATTTAAATCTGTTCTACTTGTTTTCTATCCAGAAGCATGAACCTCTTTTGTTGGAAATAATTTTTGTGTGAAGTTTGACTGAGACTTGTAAGTATACATACAAATAAATCAAGTTAACAAAAGAAGAAAGAAAAAATCCCTCCTTTGGAGGCCTCCTGTAAGGCCTCCAAAATAATTCTTTCTCTACTGTACAAAAAAGAATTGTAAATTTGGAGGGGTTTTTTTTGAGCCAGGGCTTTTTATTTTTAATTTAAGATAGAAGTATATGAGAAGGTTGTTCTTGCTTTCTAGAACATTCAGTCTAGTATTTTCTATAGCAGATCACTGAGACTGCTTCTATCTGTGGAGCCAATAATCTCTATGGCACCCAGAGGACTGTCTTCCAGCCACGCAACATGCATGGCTTGCTTTGTGTAGAAACAAAGAGGAGTGGAGGAGAAGGAATGTTCTTCTGCAAACATATCTGGTGAGGTCACTTGAGTTTACTGATATGAAATATCACTGTGGGATTACTTCCTTGTACACCCACAAGACCATGTAAAATGGTCCTCACTCATGTCTGTTCTGAGTGATTCTGAATCTTCCACTCTCAGTCCCTACTGGCCAAAGTAAGTGGTAAGGGTTGGCATCCAGTTGCCTCAGAGCTGTCCCCTTTGCTGAAATACTACCATTACCATGGAGCAAGTTGTTGCAGGAGCTGGTCCATCTGCTGCTCAGCAGTATCTTCCTTCTGTAAGAGATAAGGTCTTCTGCATCATCTGTACCTCTTGGATGCTCATGATGAGGGTGGATCAGCACAGGAAGGGTCTGCCCAGAGGGGCCACAGAATTTCTGTTCCTGCAGATCCTCAAAACTTGACAGGACATTCTCTGGCCAAGCTGATCTAACTTTGAAGTTGACCATGGTGTGAGCAAGCGATTGAGCTAGATGATGTCCAGCAGTTCATTCCAGCTTACATTATTTTATGATTCTGCTTTAAGTACTAGAAACTGTATACCTTTGTAGCAGATCTGAGATCAGAATTAATGAGGAATCCTACTGGCTGCAGAAGGAAGACCTTTGGTCAGTAACAGATGCTTCACTAGAATATCCTTTTTTTTTCCAGCCTTGGAACTCACCAGGCTGCATTCCTGCCTGTCAAATAAATGAGTTGGTTTTCTTGGTTGTGGAATTTTCAGGTCCAAGTACAATTATCAGGCATTCTTAAGTTCAGAATTTACCTACGACCACTAATGCTCAACAGTCACCTGCTGTCCCATCAATAAGTCTCCAAGGATGGCCAGATCTAGTGTCCTTCCCAAACTGGAGGAACCGTGGAAGCTAAAAGCAATCCCTCAGAGCTCTTGCTCCAGGAAAAAGCAGTTGTTCTTCATTCCCAGCTGCTCCTGAGTGTCATCCTGCCTCTTCAGATCTTGGAAGCTAGGCAGTGTTGCTCCCCCTTTCTTCCTTCCTTCTTCTTCAACTCCCACAATGTAAGATGAAGTCTTCCTTGTTCTTTCTATACAGAGCCACAAAAGCCAAAGGAAAGAAACATGTGAATCTCTTACTTTTACTATGGGTGTAAATGAAAATTTGGGTTTATGCCTTTAAATTCTTACTGATGAAAGGTTGAGGTGCTGCTTTTTCTGATGTAGTGGAATAATGCAAGTACTAGTCTAAATATTTGAAAGTTCCTCTATCTGGAGCATGAACTAATGTATGGTGTGAATTTGCCATCTCAACAATCTAACGTACCTCACAGGTCTTTATGTATCTTGGGGATGTTGTCTTATAAAACTTTACTTTTCTTAACTTTGAGAATGTAGTAACGCACAGATATCAAAATCAATGCAAGATATTGATGGTGTAGGAGCTTTTCTAAACTTTTCTTGACTATTTTTAAAGGAACCCTTTCTGCGCAGCTATGGCAAGGCAAATTTCCGAGGCAGCATACTTGATTCTTGCTGCTGTTAGATATTAATGGATGTTACTTGGTTGAGTCCCCCTGTGGTGCTTTGAAAGGGCACACTTGTGTGTATAATAAATTAGTTTGTTTCCTTGTTCACAGATTTTTTGAGCTGTAGAACTACAAAAGCATTCCTTCCTATAAGACAGAAGCAAGGCCCACATATCATACTTCATTCCTTTCAAATGGATGTTTCTTTCCTGGACCTGGAAAAAATGCTATAATTCCAGCTGGTAAAAATTGGATTTCAGTGAAGTCAGAGGGGAACATGAAATCCCTGAAGGAACAGACCACATATAAACCCAACAGCACAAATTAAGGAAAGGTTCTTATCTGTCACAGACTAATTGGCTGGGGCCTACTGTTTCACATATCAGATCTCTCCTACTGTTTAGAGAATCTTCAGTAAAATAAATCTGTGCTAGAAATAATTTATACTTATATGTGTATATCTGTTCATAGATCACAATGTGGCCTGCCTCCTATACACCCCGTCTGTTTGCAAGTATCACCACTGATCTAAAAAGGGGATGTATGCATCTGTACTAAAGTAAACAGTTTTTACAAAGTTAGACACCATGCTCATCTCATTCATCTTTATTGGGTCATATGTAGGTAAGGGTTTTGTTAAGTGCTCTATTATTCTGAAAGTCAGTTTAATGACTGCATACTATAAAAGTTAAAGCAATTATATGTAGTGCATAATGAACAATATCACTTCCAAATGTTCACATGTAATGCATGTCAGATTTCTGTTGAAAAACAAAACAAAACCAACCCCTCAAGGTTGCAGTCTGCTCTTTAGAAGAGCCACATGTTGTAACCTCAGAACCTCAAAATATCAGCTGATTTCTGTGCATGATCAGAGCAGTGGAATCTATGCCATATTCTGCCCTTAATTTTTTTGAATCTGGCTGCAGTAATGATCAGATGTGCACTTCTGCCAAATGCAGTGTTTGATCCACATACAGATCAGTGAATTGATCTAAACTCTTTTTCTCATGGCATATCTCATTCTGACACAATTTTTTTACAGGATATAACAAAGACAAATATGTAAATAACAAATGACCTTTTTTAAACTTCATCTTTGGTTATGTTTGTTATATTACTTTTGGTAAAATTAAAATATCTATAGACACCGAATGAGTTCAAGGACCTCATACTGGAAGAGGTAGTATTTTGTGAAACATTTAAAATCTAAATACTCTGGACAGATAAAAGAAACAGATTTACACCTTCCTAGAGAGAAGAGTAGAAGTGATCAGTCATGGTTGTCAGAAATGCCTTGCCATTGTCAGAAGAACCTCTTGAGGAGGCCAGTTACTCTCGTTTTAGTCCTTCAGCAGATTTCCACGTCCCACACATCTTTCCCATTCTGTTTTCTGTGTACCTGCATCTGCTATTCTTATCCACTGCTAGTGCCTTCTTTACCATACAGTCCATACAGTGTTAATTGGTTTATTATCAGAACTGTTGTTGTAAGTTATCATAGTGAACTGAGCTTGAGCAATTTAGGAACCTGTCCTTTCTGGCTCACCTTTTCTTTCCCCAGAGGCAGTGGCACACAGGAAAGAGTTAGGGCTAAGGGCCAGGACAGCAGCTGCCTCAACTGTCAAACTCTTGTCTGTTTGTATTCATGAGTTGGCACTCTGAAATTATACACCAGTTTAGTCAAAGAAAAGTTCCAAATAAAGATCATTAATTATAAAAAGGACAGTGCGAAAGCCTGGCTGAACCACTCAGATGACTCAGACTGGATTTCTATTTCCTCCTTTGCAGGTGAACTTATTATATGAGAAATATGGCCTCAAGCCCTGAACTTTTGAACACTCTATCAAAATGCATTGATTGTGATTTTGCTGAGGATTGCAGTATTTCTTGAAAAGTTCATATGAAGGGTTTAGTTTGGGGGGTTTTATGCACCTACAGAAATATTGTAATCTTCTGTTCTGAAGCAAGTCAGCTCCCTGGGAAGTTTGCAACTCTTCAGATTAGATTCATGTAAGCTACTTAGGAATATTCCCTTCAGATAAACAGACCAACAGTATCACATTTGGAAATAAAACATGTTATATATTGAAATAAATTTTATGTATGGAATTTTATTTAATACAACATCAATATGATTTTAGGTAAAGCTGTCCAACAGGGTGAAGCAAATGCTTGAAAGAGTTTTTATTTTACTTCTTTGCTTATATTGTGGTTGGTATAAACTGCTTTTGTTAGTTTAATAACAAGGGTGGGAAGAGGCCAAGCACTGGGAGATTAATTTAAAAAATAGCTCAGAAGAATTAGTCACAGGAGAGCAACTTCAGGGTGTCTGGCACATATCAGCATTTTATTTCATTGTAACCAAAATATTGCACATGGATTCATAAAACACATTTGTTGGATTTTCTTTTAAGTTTCACGGTTTGTTCTTTCTTTTAAAACCTGTGGTAGGTCAGAATTAATGGTAGCAATTTCCTTTGCTAATGACCTCGAATATACTCTTTTTAAACCCCCCAAAACCCAAACCATCACAATCCATTCTTTTAAGTAGGATTTTGTAGTTGTATAAGCTGGTTGCTTGCTTTCTATATTTTAAAGTGTCCAACAGGGTAGTAGAAGGATTTGTTGATGTTCTTGTCATGAACTTCACAGATACATGTACAGGGGACAGATCTCTGTGTAAAGTATTTGCATCCTTGGACAGCTTGAAGGCATTTTTATACTACAGAGTTATGCTACTGGAGATCTTGTATCCACTTATGTCACAGTTTAAAGTAATCTATAGAGAAGTTAGGGGTTTTTTTCATGTTTTATTTTTAGTATTTAGAGCACATGATCATTATTAATCAGATTCAGACTAAGTGCCAATAAATTCCACAGGCCTACAGTCCAGAGATATATCAAATGACTTTGTCCTAAAAAGATGAAGGAAGTAAATTACTTACATTGTGCAGTTTCAGGCTGTGTTTCTATAACTGTTAATATGAAATCTTTGGATCAGGCACAGGAATACAGTTGTATTTCGTCTGAGTGAGCCAGCACCTTTAGTTCAATCTTGATGCCATCTTTATGCTTTTAGATATTCTTTAAAAACACGAAAACGTGCCCAAAAAATGAACCCCCCAAGTCTGTGCAGTGAGTCTGTACCAGACAGGTAAATTGTATTACGTGGTTGCAGCAATTCTGAGCCAGTAGTAGATGTCCATGAAGTGGAGATGCTTGCTTCGTTCATGATTTAAGAGGGAAACGAATGCCTGGGAAGGCTACCCAGTTAATGGACATCTTGTTCATCACTGTCTAGACATGAGTGTGGGCATATTTATTTTTATTTATCTTCTACGGTAGAGAAGACAAAATTCTGGCTACGGCTGACCTGTTAGCAGCAACACTTGTGCTAGCTCAGCAGAAGGCCAAGAAACATGATTTCCAAGCTACTAAAGAGAGCCCCACTCTGATAAATCTCTTATGAGACGAGGTGTGAGTGGGCAACTGCAAACAGCTTAATTCAAGTGAACAGTGTTATACATTAGAAATCAAAATAAGCATTTTTATCTTAGTGAAAAAAGAGTTTCGGTGTGATAGGTGTACTTTGGTGATGAAAATGCTGTATTTAAAGCATTCTGGTCTCCTCTTTTTTCCCACTTCCAAATGGCAGATTCACATTTCCTCAAGTCTGCATCAACACTTCATCTTTCTAAGAAAGATTAATAGTGTGCCATAAAGTTTTCCGCATGTCTGCATCTCTCTGAGGAGCCTTTAAAACCTTATCTTCTCAGAAGGACTTTTTTTAAAAAATAAAACAAAACAAAACAAACGACCAAAACACAAAAAAAAACACCCAGCAGTTGGGGTTTGCCCCAGTGACCTCAGCCAGTCTCTTTCCAGAGTCATAGCACCTTGTTTCCTGAACGGATGTAGCGTTGCACTTCAGAGGTGGCTGCTTTTTAATTAGTTTGGTACTGTTTGTGAAGGAGAAACCTAGATAAAGGTAAGGTATTCAGTGAGGTTTTTTCCAAAAGAAGTGACTAATAATCTAATAATCAAACTTTTTGCTCACTGAAGTCAGTCACGGGCTTTAAGAGGAGCTGAGTCAGGGCACCAGTGGGTGTTTTTGAAAAATCTATCCCTGCACTGTTGGGTTATTTTAGTATAAACAGGAATCAAATTCGTCTTCCTTTGTTTATCCCTTCATTTCTTCCATAGAGTTTTCTAGTTAATGATGACTGAAAATAAATTATTCACCTCTCCATTTTCCAAGCATGGAAGTGTCAGTGACTCTTCCCTTGCTGTAGGTGTTAACACATGGAAATACTATTTCTGCTTTGTATCTATAGCATGTTAGTTTCTGGCATGTGCACAAAGGCTGGCTGTGTTTATTTTCAGGTATTGTTTACATAGTTCCTATGGAACTTGGTTTAATGATATCCCTTTTGATTCATCTACAGAACAAAACATCTTTTTATTGTTTTGTACAAGTGATTCTAAATGTTTGAAAAGTGAAATGCCATTTGAATGCATTTCTTTACCTTTTGCCAGTGTCATTTTTCTGAATCACCTTTGCAAAGAAGTGGCAAAAATTTTCATGCATTTCTGGATAGCTCAACATGTACCAGTTTTTATTGAAATTAATTTGCTGTCAGATGTTTTCTGCAAGTTCCATCCTGGGGTAGCTTGTTTTAAGACAGAAGCTTTCTAATGCAGGCAAAGTACTATGGCAGCACCTATGAGGAAGTAATGTCTATTAAGAGCACAGCTCTGATTTTTGAAGTTTCTTTCTTGTTCTCAAGCATAGCATATATCTCACCCTATCATATAATTTAAAAGGATCTTTTGAACAAAAAACTGACATGCAGAACTAGTGCTTTGGGGTTTTTAAAACTGATTTCTTTATTAAGCTTACTATTACTGATGAGGGCCTGATCATAATCCTGTAATCTTTACTTCTCTTCATTTGACCTTTAAACCTGGAATGAACAAAAATATAACCTGGGATGAGCAGGAGTTTTGTACTTCCTTGTCAAATGTTTTTACAAGAACAGAGTGGTAATCAGGCCATCCACACCACCCTAGCTCTTCCAATCTTCCCATCCCTGCAGTGTCTCAAGCTTTGATTTCTAAAGTATTTTCCTCAAATAAGAAAGAATGTTAGACAGTAGCCAGTTTAGGAACAAGCTTTGATGCTTTAAGGATTTCTACCTCACTGTGGGCATGAGTATGCATTTTCCATCCCATGCTTCTGAGACCCAGCTAATGTTCATTTGTGTCCCACAAAGGCCTACAGACTCAGATATAGCAAAGCAGGGACTAAGCAGCACAGCATCAAAGGCCTTTTTGTGAAAATATGGACAATGGTATAAAACTAACCTTGTGTTAACCTACTGAAGAACAGAGGACAAGAATTCTGAATGCCAAAATATAGAGAGATGTGTGAAAGGGAAAACTTATACAAAAGTAGGCAGACTGAATAAAACTATTTATCTTTAAGCCACACAAGTCATGGTAATTAAATTAGGTCAGGCTGGCTATAAAGCTACAAAAAGCAGGCTGTAACTAATTTAGAAAGAGACAGAGAAGACCTGAAAAGAAAACAGATTGACAGCCCCCTATTATTTTTTATCTAATCAAGGCAAAAAAACTTAAGAAAGAGGAGAAGGAAGGAAAAAAAACAAAACAAAACAAAACAAAACAAAACAAACCACATTGATTTATCAAGATTTTCTCTCAAACCATTAGGATAGACAAAAGCACGTAGTCACATCTTTGATGTGTGAAGGTTTTCACATTGTTATTAGTGCTGAGGGTTACATGCATACAGATTTTACCCCTGAGAAAACCAGAATGATTGAATGCCTTAAAGTTCAGAAAGTGGGGGAAAGTATATCAAAGAATAAAGCTGATCTGAGCTTTATCATTACAGTATCATTTCACTGAATCACTCTAAGCATCCATATCATCTGCTGCTATGTGAAGAGAAATCCTCAAAATCAGTGAAAATAGGACAATTAGACTTTCATTTATAACTATTTCTTCATAAAAGCCACCTGCCACTTTGTATTAAAACAACTCATTTTGAAAATATTTTCAAATATTTTCTTTGAATTTGAATGTGTCAGGTTGTATAGGGTGTGGGAAATACCATTCTTGGCAGTTAAGAATGGAAAGATTAGGAATTCATTTATAGGTGTGGAGCCAGGCTCATTAAACAAGGTTTAAAATAATATTTCAGCTGATTTCTACAATTGTTTTCTTTCTTCAAGTGATTAGAAAAATTAGCATGCTAAGGCTGTCTGAAGGGTGAAGAGGACTGTGTGAACAAAATGGGGGAAGGGAGTAGACAAAAAGCCCAGCTTGGTTTGTGTTGGTGTTTAATAGCAAACAACCCTTTCCCACCCTGCTTGTCTTTTATGCCTGTTTTAGTTTTAAGTAACTTCTAAAGGTTTTCCAGCAGCAGATGACACTCAGCCACTACATTCATCTGAAATAAGATACGAACTTTGCCCTGTGAAGAAAATATTTGAGGTTTTCAACACAATTACGGGGTTGCAAATTCTCTGTGAAAATGGAAATTCCCTCCCATTTTTACCAATAGGTCCCTGAGGGTGAAGTTTTGACCCCGGTGCAGTCAATGGAAACTTCGTGCTCTTTCATTAACACAAGAGTCATCCTTCATTCCATCTTGCAATTGCGACAATGAAATGTGGATAGTAAAGCAAAAACTGTCTCACTGGTGTATTGCCATTAGGTAACACCTTTTCCAGACAATGAGATAGAAAAAGCGAGACTTTGAGAGATGATCAGAAAAGATACACAAAAATGCATGGAGTCAGAAAGGGGGAGCAGGCAGGAGAAAAGGAACATTAAGCATTTATCCTTGCAGAACTGTCCCTGGGTCTGGCCTGATACCTTGAAGGTAGAGGAAGAAGGAAGAGAAACCATTTGAAAATGGCTCTAAGCGGGAGAGAAGAGTCTGTTTGCTGCAGAAAAATGTAGTATAGAGAACTTAAGCAGTGAGAGCTGTCTTGTCAATTTTTCAAAGCTGAGCTGGCACCAGCAACAGAATTTATTTCTGTTTCAGAGAAGAGGAAGCTCTCACTCTTCAACCTGAAGAGCACTCAAAACTCTTCATCAATAGAAATACAGAATTTTAGTAAGAAGTTTCAAAATTAATTAACAGAACCCCAGAGCATTGGCCCAGAATTTGGCCTAAACATAGGCTCAGAAATTCCCAGCGTTTCTGTATCAAAACTTGTTGGCAAAACCTTCTATTTTCCCTTCATATATCTTGTCCGCTACCTGCCTCCTCATCCATCTTCTTCCTCCACCTTCACTCACTGCTTCTGAGTCCACACTGCTTCCTGCTGCTGCCCTCTCCTTGCTGCCTCCCCTTTGCACATCTGCTGTCACTGGCAGAGGCTCCAGGGTTGATCCTCCAGCTCCATCCGAAGCTGAACCAGAGTATGACAGCAAAACTTAATTTCTTGAGCTCTGAACTCCTTCTCATCTCTACTATACAAGTGTACAAATGTCAACACTGCACAACATTTTTTCCATGTCTGTCACTTTAAGTCACTTATGTATAAAGAATTGCTAGCAGAATAGGTCATCTCCAAGGACACAGACATTTCCTCTGATGTGCAATATGGAATTGATAAATTATGGAGAGGATGAAATAACAACCCCTTTCCTCCTAATTTTTCATGCTTTGAGAACAGAACATGTTGGCAAATGGTTGCTGTGGTACATACCGGAAGAAGACACAGAGCAGAAAGAAACTTACTCTACATTATGACTGAACTTTCAGTTTTGCCCTGGCACACCCTAATTTGAAATGTCTTAAAGCCAGTTACAATTGTCCTAAACTCACAGGGAAGGTAGACCACCATTTTCAGACATGTATGTCTGACGTTGTATCTTAACTCCTTTACCTGAGATGGATCTTAAGTATTTTGTTTGTGTGCTTAACGTTTAGTGAATACAGTGGAGCTCTGAATATGTCAGAAACTGCCAGTGGAGATGAGCTGAGGCATCAAGATAAGAAGGAGATGTTACCAGGTGCAGTGTCCTGCTAAAAAATACTAGCCAGAGACTAATATAGAACCAGATTTTTAAAGATAAACCACACAACCAGGTCTGAACTCCAAGATTTCAGTATAGCAATTTATTGCCTTGTGCAGTGTTCACATGCAGCCAATGTGAGCCAAGGGACTGAATTAAACCCATTGAGCTTTGACAGATTGACTTTTATTTCATTTTTATTGCTTATAGATAAAAGGGGACCTGCCAACCTACAATAGATTCTGGATCTGCAGGATTTGGACCATAATATCTTGTGTTTTACTGTGTTTCTTTTAAAAAGACCCCTCCTATTTAACTAGAAGCTGTAGTTTATATTATTTTTTTCTCTTTTATACTTAAGATAAATTGGAGATGGCACAGAGCAGTGGAAGAGCAACAGCCTTTAGAATCACTCTCCAAAATTAGAGTTTGTGAAATACTTTCCAAACATCTGCATGAACAGTGCTACATCAACCTTCCAGCTGACTGGTTGAAAAGAGTGTCCTTTAATCTGAACTATGTTCCTTGGGATTTCTTAATGTAATTAATTCTTCATTTTCTTTTTATACTTTGCCAGTGAGAAACTGACTGGTGGTTGTTACCTCTGAGTCCTTTTCACTAACTGTTTCTTTCAGTTTTGGCACGATGCTGTACATTTTCATTGCATGGGGATCTTCTCAAACAAAGGAAAATTATGAAACTGTCAGATAAAATTTCATATGTTACTCTTGGCATTGCATTCACTAGGCCTGGTACACAGTGAATTTTGAAAGTCTCTGATCTTTTATAACCATTTCCAGTCTTATACATACATTTTAAAGTTTTTTTATCTGTAGTCACTGGGAATATGATTATTAAAGCTGAGGTAATTTGGATATTTTCTTTATGTAAAGATATATAGTGATCCATTACACCATAAATAATTTCTAATGTTTCATTATCCTTTCTGCTACAGTTCTTATTGTTTTATTAAGACTCTGAATTTATTTCTTTCACTTTTTTTCCCCTCTGCTATAATACTTTAGAACTTAAAGTCAAAGTGCTTAGATGTAAAAATAGATTAATTCAGTTTGTTATATTTTCAGCACCTTTGGTTTTTAAATCAGCTTTGTGCTTCCTTTTAATTTTTTTTTGCTTTTGATTCTCTAAAAAGTGTTCTTTTATCTCTATGTATCTTCGATTTAGTAGATTTACTTGCTTATATAAATTGCAAAATGTTCAAAATCATTTCAACAAAGAAGAGTATTAGTGTTTTCTATATCTCTGATATACAAGGTGGGATAAAATCAGTGGGGTTTGTAACTGTTTTGCTAGAAGGGAAGAGTTGAAGTTACTCAGGTATTGTTCAGAAAGTGTGCCTATGAGAATGAACACTGAGAATGGGTTCAGAGTGGTGAGGTCCCCCTAAGTCTTATAGTACCATAAAATAGAGACATCGAGGACACAAAATCTTTTTTTTCTCCTTCCAGATTGCTGTGTCAATCTGAAAGCCTAATGATCATGCATTAGCACCTCAGTTATTAACACTCTTGTGGGTTGGGATGAGTGTGACTTCTCTGCACTATTGTGTTCCTCCTCGGTTCAGGGAAATCAACTAAACTGAAGATACATTGACATTTTGAGGTTTAAATAGAAGAGAAGATCCCTTGACACAAAATCCTTT